ACAGCTAGGCGGAAAATCCAAGCAGAGAGAGAGAGGGAGTAAAAAGGAGAAGTCAGAGGTACCAGCAGTCACTGGGGAAGCAAGATGTGAGGTAAAAAGCCATGTGCCTCATGGTAAATTAGAGAATAGAAATGGGTTAATTTACATTGTAAGAGATAGTTGATAATAAATCTGAGCTAATAGGCCAAACAGCAATTATAATTAAGTCTCAGATGGTTACTAGGAAATGAGGAGGTGGTAGAAGAGAAACCCCCAGTTACATCTTCCTTATCACACCCTCTCTGATCTCTGATCAGTAGATTCAGCAGAGTTGTAGGAAAATTAAAGTGTCCTGTTTTCCAATGAGATTGATAATAACTAGAGGTATGGTCCAAAACATTATTCTTTTGATCCTTTTCCATATTTGTATCAGTTTCCTGGTACAGATATTGATCACCCAAAAGGACAGTTAATCAAGTATTGAAGAAACTCTGTTTGAAACTTGGAACTGTTGGTGCTACAGTCAGTGATGATGCAGGGTTAAGAGAATTTACTGCTCTTACAGAGGATAAAGACTCGATTTCTAGCAACATTTGCTGGCTTACAACCATCCATAACTTTAGTTCCAAGGATCTCACACCATCTTCACACTTCCATAGGAGTCAAGCATACATAAACGCCGGCAAAACATTCTTACACATAAAATAAGATATATACATCTAACAGTTTTTTTTAAAGTAAAATATTATTTGTCTGATATATATAAAACACTTGGATCAAGCTTGACAGGGAAAAATGTTTAAATAAATGTGACATAAGGCTCTATTTGTTAACTGGCATTCTGACATATTTATTTGAAAACATAATTATTTTGAAGAAACAGAATATTTGGGGACATATTTTTAACATAATAATTACTTATGGAACCCTGAAATAAAAGGGGTAAGTTATTTTATCAGTCTTTACATTTTAGGAAAGGCAGAGACTAAAGAATCCTTTCCAAGATGAGAGCCTTGCTCATGATAATGAAGATGTGCCCTGGTATAGAAGGTATTCTGTCTAGGGAGAAGCAAGGACATTTTAAACTTATAAACTCAGGGCTGAGAGGATGACCAACCACATACCATATTGAGTGATGTTCCATCTAACTTTTACTAAATAGGCTTTTACACTATAAAAGAAATATAGGTCAATTTGGCATATTTAATTGAAATAGCAGTTAATTATAAGCCAAGTTGTACAATGAAAAATATAAAATTACAAGAACATGCATATAATACATATATGAATCAGTATATGAAGGTCATCTTAAAGACAAAGAAATATCAATTTTCACTTTTAGATTAGGCTGCTGATTAGATCTTAGATCACATTTTACTAGCATTAACAATCCTTAATCTGAACCTTGTCCTTTTAAAGATATGACTGTAATCTAAGTAGAAAACCTTGGATGTCAAAGACATAAAGCTTGAACTTTTGGGAAAACTTTGAGGAGGCTGAACAGACATCATCTTGGGACTTCCTTTAATTTTTTTTTCGTTAGTTTAAATTGGACACAATCAAACTTGGGAAAATGTATTAAAGAGGAGAGCTCATGTAGACAGGTCATCAACCATATTTTCTATTGTTATAAGTTAAATCTTATAAGTTGATACGATAAGGTATCTTATAACTATGAGATAATAATTATTACTATTATAGTACTTATCAGAATAGACAATTTTATTTGTATAGAATAAGCATATTTAGATTTTAAATGTGACTCTTGGTTGGTGTTGTATGTCCTATCAACCTCATAAAGAAAATGGTATTTTATAGAGAAAGAGCAAAGTTGGCCTCCACAAGCACAATACATGCACATGAGGCACGAATATGCAGGTCAAACATCCATATACATGAAAATAAAATTAAAGCATTTTATAAAAATATTTTTTAAAAGTAATACATAGCATTTCATCCAACATGAAATTACTGTGTATTCCAGTTATACCAAAATGATATAGATTTGACTTATTACTTATAAGAATTGCCATAAATGAAAGAAAATTAAAAATTTCTCAACATAAATTACTGTTGAAATTTCTGCAACAGTGTTAATTCATATCTCAATAAAAACTAGTTTTCAGGATCAAAGTTATATTTGCTTTATAGAAATAAGTAACATTTTAAGATATTATAAAATAATTAATAGCACCCTAAATATCACACCACAGGTGTCAATAGTTGCAAAGGTTGGAGACTAGGATCTCCTGCTTATCTGAGACCCAGTAAACTTAACAGTAACTGAGGCAGTTTGAATATTACAAAGAGACTACAATGCAAATGAGTTATTGCATTGGTTGATTCCAGTTAAGTTGGCTATAACCAAGGCCCAAAGGCTTATTGAGAATTAGAACAGCAGGATATCCACTGAAACACAGATTTACTGTACTCATCCAGGTTCCCAGTCAGAAAGTACAAATCTACAAGGAACCTTTACTGCCAGGGTTTAAACTTGACTTTTTCTAAGACAAAATGCAATTTGTTCTAGCGGATAGGTCATTAATACTTTATTGAATCTGGAATGACTGGGGAAAATGTAAACATCTGGCCACAATATTTGAAAACGGTAAATTAAGTTGGCTATGTAAGGTGAAATGGCTGTGAGGCAAAAGAACCCACTCCGGAGGTCTAGTGTTCCCTTCTTTAGCTCCATTGTATGGGGATACTACTATTAAATGACTGAAAACTAATCTACAAGTCTAATATAATCATAAGGATTACTATTTAGATGTCATGGATAATTCTTTTAAACACTAATATCAATAAGTGGTTACTATTTGATTTTAACATCAGTACGAAGAGATAGTCCGTAGTCAGTGCAGCCCCTAAAGGACATCTTCTCTGACCTTATTTCTATCATGCTTACTATCTTCCTTAGTTGCATGACGACATTTTGTTCACAGTGTACACCAGGGAATGGAATTGTCTGTTAGTCATCAATAGCACAACAGAGGGATTAATGTGCATGCATTCTTTGTGTTGAGACTTGGTATTACATACAATTAACCCATCCTTTCAATAAACAAGATTAAAAATTTATTTAGCTCAATAAAAAAAACTTTTAAGATCATGTCAACAAACTAGGTGAAAATATGAGGTAAGAAGAAATTGGTAAGAGGTGTGGGAAGTCCTTTTGTCTATGCGTTGCTTTTATTAGTTAATGAATAAATTTGTTTTGGCCAGTGACTTAGCAGAATAGAGCTAGGCAGGAACTCTAAACTGAATGCTGGGAGAAAGAAGGCAGAGTCAGTGAGAAGCCATGCAGCCTCTGGGGACTCATGCTTACCTTGGAGTCCGGTAGGCAACGACCTTGTGGTGATGCACAGATTAATGGAGATGGGTTAGTTTGGGATCTAGGAGCTAGCTGGGAATATGCTTAAACTATTGGCCAAACAATATTGCAATTAATACCGATTTCTCTGTGATCAATTTGGGAGTCTGAGCGTCTAGGAAATGAACAAGCAGTCTCTAGGCAACAGGAAGGAACTAAGAATGAGGAGGAACAGACACAACTTTTATTGATTATATCACTGTAAAAATAGAAAGTATCCAAATCTGCATCCCCCTTTCCTCAAAATGCAAGAGGAAAGAATGAAACAAGGCTGGAACTGTCTGCTTGCTCTAGAGAGATTATTTAAGAAATGGTATGGGCTATAATTCTATGAGTATAAAAATAAGTTTTAAGACTCAGGAATTATGCTGGCAGAAGTAGGTCCTCTAAAATCCGTAATATCACTACCCTCATTCATTGGTTACATTTCTAGTACTGGCACAATTTCCTTCTTGTTGGACAGGCCTAAATATAAGTTATACAGTAGCTTGTCACCAACAAGACAGGGATGACACTATTGTGCCTGTGTTGATATCTTGCCAGACTGATCACTGTTTGGGTTCATTGGGTTGTTATTTTCCTATTGCTATTTCCCATTTCATGACAAAAATAACTTAGGAAAGAAAACATTTTTAAACACTCATGGTTCTAGAGAATAGAGCCCATAATTATCATCACAGGTAATATGGCACAGATAGGCAAGCATAGCAATGGATACCAGCTAACAAGATCAGAAAGCTGGAGCCAGAGAGTAAGAGCTATCTTGGAACAATGTCAGCACTGAAGCCTTAAAGCCATCCCAGTGACTAATGCTCTGCAACGAGGTGACATCTTCTAATCTTTCCCACCATTTCCACTAACTGGTAAAAAACCACTCAAATATAGGGGCCTTTGGGGGCCATTCTCATGCAATCCGCAACAAAAGTTACAGTTGGGGAGGGCTATTGACCACTTCTCTCACTTGGCAAACTGAATTGCATCTATGACTATGACAGACTAATGAAGGTGATTTTGGTGTTAGATCCAGCTCAACCTTTTCCAGTCCTGAATTCCCAAGTATGGAATGTGTCAGCAAATACGAGTTACCCATAACCTCTTAAAGATGACCAAAGAAAAGAGTATTACTTAAACTGCTTGGGGAATTACATGGACCATCATGAACAATGCAAATGAAGATTTCTTATGCCTGGTGCTGTTGTTTTTATTAATATAGGGTTCCTGGGGGAAGGGACTGTCATGCCAAGTGATATAATTTCATTTAATATGTATCTGTGTGTGTTTGTATATCCACAAGTATGTACATACTCTTGTATTGACACCTGCATTATACACAAGTATAACATAACATTATTATTTATAATAGATATTGTATAATTACACTACACAAGGTGTATATATCACGCTGTACAAGACATAAAATATTGCATATATACAAAATAATTACTTTTTTTTTTTTTTTTGGTTTTTCGAGACAGGGTTTCTCTGTGGTTTTGGAGCCTGTCCTGGAACTAGCTCTTGTAGACCAGACTGGCCTCGAACTCACAGAGATCTGCCTGCCTCTGCCTCCCGAGTGCTGGGATTAAAGGCGTATTATTGTTTTATTTTTGGTTTTTCGAGACAAGGTTTCTATGTAGCTTTGGAGCCTGTCCTGGAACTAGCTCTTGCAGACCAGACTGGTCTCGAACTCACAGAGATCCGCCTGCCTCTGCCTCCCAAGTACTGGGATTAAAGGCGTGCGCCACCACTCCCTGGCTCCAAAATAACTACTTCTTAACCATTACCAAACAATATTGGCATTAGATCTTCATTCTTCTCCCGTATTGGCTGTATTCATTTTATCCCTAACTAGAATCTCCTCCTCCACGGTTTTCAAATTTTCCCCTTCCTGTCAATCACATCCAGCTATTCTCCTCTCTAGTCTCTCTCCCAATTACCAATGGCATACTATTCATGCACACACACACACAAAATCTTAAATCAGAAAATGATTTGGCAAATGGAATCAACTACAAAACGTGTGCTAAGCCAGACTCAGAAAGATAAATCCTAGCTCCAAATCTTTAGATACGAGATAAACTGAAGTAAACACAAAAACCATACCTTGCCTTAAGGAAAACATAATGCAAAGTAAATCTCCTGTATAGAAATGGGCCAATAATAAAAATGCTCAATATGTGAATGTACTTCTTTCAAGCTGTTTGTTTCTAAAGCCTTTGGACTAACTGCCAGAAAGTATTTCATTTATTATTGACTTAAGATTTAAGTATATGAAAAAGTTTCACAACTGTTATTTCATTTAAAATGACACTCAGATTTTTCAGTTTTGCAATGAAAATTTCTTACTGGATATTTTTTTTTCCCCTTTGGTTTTTTGAGACAGGGTTTCTCTGTAGCTTTGGAACCTGTCCTAGAACTAGCTCTTGTAGACCAAGCTGAGGTCAAACTCACAGAGATCCACCTGCCTCTGCCTCTCAAGTGCTGGGATTAAAGGCGTGTGCTTGGATTTGGTTCTTTTTAAACCCCAAGGTGGATATCTGAATTTCCTTTTCATAGCTCTGATAAATTCCAACTAGTAGAAAAACGTTTAGAAGGAAGTGTTACAATGGGCTTGACGCTGCAGAGTGTCAGGATCTCTTCAGGAGGAGTAAAGGCCTGATGGCAGGACTCACATGATAATATACAATCAGGAGGCAGAGGGAGTAGACTAGGAGTGTCTTGTCTTGAAATCTCAAACTCGCTGAGAGTGACAGATGTTCACCACAGGCCATAGTGTTTAATTGTCCTCAAACTGTTCCACCAATGAGAACAAAGTTCCCAAGCACACCAGTACTATACCTGCTTTCAAAGCTACTGCCATAGCCACAGTTAAAAACAGAACCAAAAACCAAAAACAACAACGAAATACAGGTACTGTTCATAATGCAAGTGGTTTGCATGCTATATATAGCAAAATATTGGGCATTAACATTACACTTTTGCAGGTCTCACAATCTGTATCTTTCCACATTAAAACACTGTATTTGTCAGTTATGCCTCTACTGCTATGAACCTATCATTCTTTACTCATTTGTATTTTTCTTTCTGTGTTCATTAGGAAGCATGCATTTGATTCTCAGGAGACAACTTTCAGGAACTGGGTCTCTATTTCCACCATGCAAGATCCAATGAGGGAATTGAGATAATCGCATCTTCTGGCAAGAACCATTACTAGCTGAGACATCTCATGTTCCAATCACATTCTTCTTCCATATCTCACAACGGAAGCAATTTGACCAATGCACTGTCACAAAGTCTGCACATTGCAGCTTTCACTGTGAGATCATTTTGGGTTTGACCATAGGTCTGAAACATGGAAATTCAGGAACAGATTGTTTAAGAGGATAGGGTTTTTAAAAACTGTGAACATTTTTCCCACATTTGTTAAAAACATAAAAGCTTTCCCCAGTGGGGGGAAAAATGAATATAAGAACTGCGGCTGCTAAAGGATTATGTGATTATACACGTAAGATCTGTCTCTAGGGTAGATTCTTAGAACTTCATGGAAACAGAAACTTATGAACGCTTTTGACAATATTTGAATGCATACATGCATTAGACCTCTTTCCTGTGTAAATTCTTACATGAGGGTTACAGAAACTGGAAGTGGTGAAGGCTTTCCCACACTGCTACTATTGGTAAGGTTCCTCACCAATGTGAGATAGTTTATATTTGATAAAGTAAGAACAAAGAAATCGTTTTCCAAATGTTTATGAACAGAGGGTTTCTCTCCAATGTGAATGTTATTACTACTCTTGGGCAAAGTGGAAATAGTGAAGGTTATCCACAGTGCTAAGCAGCAGCATTAGGCTACCAACTAGTGTGAAGCATTTCATGTCTGGTAAGATGACCAGAGCAGCTGAAGGCTTTTTGACAATTCTTACATGCATAAGGCCTGTTTTTTGAGTTAACTCTTTCATGGCTTTTAAAATCACTAGACTAAATGAACCCACATGTTTTAAACACAGGAGGTTTCTCTCCAGTGTGATTTTTTCATGCAAGTTAGACCAAGCAGAAGTGTTGAAAGTTTTTCCACAATGGTTCCATGAGTTAGGCTTGTCTCTAGTGTAAATCATTTCATGAATGTTCAGATGACTGTAGTGGGTGAAGGCTTTTCCACAATGCTCACATCATGAGGCTTCTCTCTAGTATGGAGTCTTTCAGAAGTCTTACACAAACTGAAATTGGTTTTTCAACAAGGCTTCCACACATAAGGCTTTTCTCACGTGTGACGCCTTTCATGTCTGTAACGACTACTGGAGTCACTGAAGGATTTTCCACAATGCGTACATGCATAGGGCTTGTCTTTGGAGTGAACTCTTTCGTGCTTGTTAAGATCACTAGACTGAATGAACAGTTTCCCACATGTTTTACAGACAAAGTCTTTCTCTCCAGTGTGAATTTTTTCATGCAAGTTTCGACAAGTAGAAGTTTTGAAGGTTTTCCCACAATGTTTACATGCATAAGGCTTCTCTCCAGTGTGAACTCTTTCATGAGCGTGCAGTTGATTGGAGCGGGTAAACGCTTTTCCGCAATGCTTACACACATAAGGCTTCTCTCCAGTGTGAACTCTTTCATGACCTTTACATGAACTAAAATTAGTGAAAGTTTTCCCACAATACTTACATGTATAAGGCTTCTCTCCTGTGTGAATCCTTTCATGCCTGTTACGACGACTGGAGTCACTGAAGGCTTTCCCACAAAACTTACATGCATAAGGATTCTCTCCAGTGTGACTCCGTTCATGTCTGCTACGGCGACTTAGGTCACTGAACGCTTTTCCACAATGCTTACAGACATAAGGCTTTTCTCCACTGTGAATTCTTTCATGAATATTACAATAAGCAGAACTGGTGAAAGCTTTTCCACAATAGTTACATGCATAAGGCCTTTCTCCAGTGTGAATTCTTTCATGAATGTTTCGGTAAGAGGAACTGGTGAAGGCTTTCCCACAATGTCTACATGCATAGGGATTCTTTCCAATATGACTGCTTTCATTATTGTTATGATAACTGTATTGTGTGAAGGCTTTTCCAAAATGTTTACAAGCACAAGGCTTCTCTCTACTGTGAGTTACTTCATGGTTTTCAAAACATTTTGCATAACTAAATGTTTTGCCACACTGACTACAAATGTACCTTTTCTCTCCAATATGACTTTTTTCATGGCTGATAAGGTTACTGGAATGAATGACTGATTCTTCACAGAGTTTACATACAAATGGTCTCCCTTCTTTATTGATTCCTTCATCATTCTGGCCATATGTGCATCTTGTTAAGTCATTCTCATTGAGTTTATCTCCAGTGTGAGCTCTCTCCTGAGGCTGATCAAAACAGAGACTCCTACAAGTCTCATTACATTGTTGATTTTTGCAGGGTTTCTCCTTAGGAGAAGTTTCCAGTTCCAGAAGTGATTCAGAATGACTAATAAGTTTCCAATGTTTCTGATGTATAAAATCTTTTGCCATAGCTTCCTTACATACAGATCGTATCCCTCTAGGTTGTTCTCTGAGATACCCATGTGAGGATGAATGACAAATGATGTTTTTTACATGCAATGGACTTTGATGAACTCTTACTCCTGGGTGCACGTCTTTATTGATGATAGTCTCTGTAATAGGTTTCTGGTTCTTATCACACTCACTATTGCATTCATATCCACAGTCTTTCTCAATCACCAGAGTTCTGCAAAAAACGAGAAAAACATTAGTGTGGCCAAGGGAAATATCTGAGACTGTGTGTGTGAACCACTGTAACTATACTATACTATACTATCTCAGGGGCAACTAAAGAATGCCATCAATGTTAAGGACAATATAGGCCGCATGTAGAGATCCTGTCATGTGCAAAGAAGTAGAGGGTTGACTATTTATATAGTCTTCCAGCGGATCGGATTTTCATGATCAGCATTCACGTGGAGGGCTCACAAGTTCCTGTTACTCTTGATCTAAAGGATCTCTTTCTCTCTTCTGCCTTCTACAAATGTTTTTGTCATGCAAGAAACCATACACATGAACACATAAAGTAAATGAATGGCATAAAAAAAGTGAATATGGAGGCAAAAGTTCTATTGTTGGAAGACAATAATAACAATCACATAAAATGCTGAAACACTGTGGCATTCTAAATACTCAGCCCGTTTTGGTTGGTTATCAACTAGATTCATCTAGGGTCATCTGAGAATAGAAACCCTCAATGGAGAAAATGGCTCAATCAGCTTGGCCTGTAAACAAGCCTGTGGATTTTCACCTTCCTGATTGGTAAAGGAGGCCTCTGCCAATGCTGGGTAGTGTGCCCACGGCAGAAGTGCACGAGATGTATAGGAAAGATGCCTGCGACTTAGTTTTGTTCAACATTACACGAACTAGGACACACATCCGAGAAGAGAGAAACTGAATGGAGAAAATGCCTTTATCAAGTTGACATTTAGGTCTATCTGTGTGGGCATTTTCTTGATCACTGATTGAGGTAGAGTGCCCCAGTCCACTGTGGGTATTGTCCCCCTAGAGGTGTGGGCCAGAAGCTAAGTAATGGATGAGGAGCACACCAATGAATAGAATTTCTCCATCACCTCTGCTTCAGTTCCTGCATCCAGATTCTTGCCATGTTTGGGCTCCTGCCTTGACATTCTTCTATGATTAGGCTGTGACAAGGAAGTGTAAGTCAAAATGAGCTCTACCTCTGAGTTGTGTGGGTTTTTTTTTTTTTGTCACAGCAAAAGAGAGAAAATAAATGACAGTTCTAATAAGAAAGGACAGAATAATATACGTAAAAAAAGTAAATACTTTTGGATATGAAGGTAAGTTTTGTGTAATAAGCCACCAGAAAAGCTCCTTCAGAGCTTAATGTCCCTGATGTATTTATGATATTAATAGATTACATAGATGGGATACTCAGATATTGAATGGTAAATCAATGCTCTGTTACAGGAATTTGTGTAGGATCATTTTTCACTTAGGTTTACTTGGAGCATTTGGCAGGATCTCAGTTGGTTTATGATTCCCAAATATTTGACATAAACTCTTGTCCATTGAATATAAATTACCTTGTATTTCTGCTGAGATCTTTGTAGTCCTCTTCAATATTTTCTTCTAGTGCTTTCTCTGGAAGAAAATTCAGAATACTTTATGACATTCATATTGAACATAAAAAATTATTACAATCTAGCTTTTATGACATGGGTATTCATACTAAATTTACCACATATTCCCTTCAAGAATCCAAATCACAACACTACACACATAAGCAGAAAACAGTTGCACTCTAACTGAATAAGCAATGGGAGCACTGTAAATTTTGGCCTCCACCTTTGGAGGCCCCGCCCCTGTGCCCCTTGCACCTTGACACCTTGCTGAGGAGGGCCGAGGAGGGTCAAGATAGGCCACCAAACCTTGGCCCCTCCCCAGAGGAGGTCAGGACCACTTCCCTAGCCTATTTAAACTGCTCCCTGGAAAGTTAACATGTGGTCACGTCTTGCCCCCGCCCCTCCCCCCAGTTTGTTTTGATTCAGCATGATTGGGATTTTTGCCTTGACAGAACTTGTGTTAGAAAATATTCCTAACAAGCACGTTTTTTTTTTTTGTTTTTTTTTGTTTTTTTTTACCTACGAAGATCAGGTTTAAAAATGTTTCTTCCATCACAGCACTGTAGAGCTTCTTTTGAGTAGAATCCAACAATGCCCACTCTTCTACAGTGAAGTTCACAGCAACATCCTCAGAGGTCACTAGCTCCTAAGAGTGCATATATTAGGATGGTTAGCTTTACCTGACAGGCTGACAAGATACAGAATCATCTAGCATATATGTTTCTGAAGATACCTCTAAGTGATCCTTTAAATAGGATTAACTGAAGAATACGTGTGGGAGGCTATCTTGATTACTTATCTAATACAAGAAGATCCACTGTCTCAGTTACTATTTGCCTGCCAGTCAGGCATCACAATCCCTGACTTCAAACGATACTACAGAGCTACGGTACTGCAAACAGCCTGGTATTGGCATAAAAACAGACAGGAGGACCAATGAAGCTGAATCAAAGGCCTGGATATTAATTCACACACTTTAGAACACCTGATTTTTGACAAAGAATCAAAAAATATCAAATGGAAAAAAGAAAGCATTTTTAACAAATGGTGCTGGCATAACTGGATTTCAACATGTAGAAGAGTGAAAATAGACCCATATCTATCACCATGCATAAAACTCAAGTCCAGATGGATCAGACCTCAACATAAAGCCAGCCACACTGAACCTCATAGAAGAGAAAGTGGGAAGTACGCTTGAACACATTGGCACAGGAGACCCCTTCCTAAATATAACCCCAGCAGCACAGACACTGAGAGAAAAAAATTAATAAATGGGACCTCCTGAAACTGAAAAGCTTCTGTAAAGCAAAAGACATTGTCAACAAGACAAAATGACAGCCTACAGAATGAGAAAAGATCTTCACCAACCCCACATCAGACAGAAATCTGATCTCCAAAATATATAAAGAACTCAAGAAATTGGTCATCAAAAGAACAAATAATCCAATAAAAAAAATGGAGTACAGAGCTAAAGAGAGAACTCTCAAAAGAGAAATCTAAAATGGCTGAAAGACACTTAAGGAAATGTTCAACATCCTTATTCATCAGAGAAATGCAAACCAAAACAACTCAGAGAATCCATCTTATGCCTCTAAGAATGGCCAAGATCAAAAACACTGATGACAACTTATGCTGGAAAGGTTGTGGGAAAAGGAGAACACTTCTGTACTGTTGGTGGGAATGCAAGCTGGTACAGCCCCTTTGGACGTCAGTGTGGTGATTTCTCAGAAAATTAGAAAACAACCTTCCTCAAGACCCAGTAATACCACTTTTGGGTATATATCCAAAGGATGCTCAATCATGCCACAAGGACATGTGCTCAACTATGTTCATAGCAGCATTGTTTGTCATAGCCAGAACCTGGAAACAGCCCAAATGTCCCTTGACTGAAGAATGGATAAGGAAAATGTGGTACATTTACACAATGGAGTACTTACTACACAGTGGAAAAAATAACATCTTGAAATCTGCAGGAAAATAGATGGAACTAGAAAACATTATTTTGAGTGAGGTAACCCAGACACAGAAAGACAATTATCACATGTACTCACTCATAGGTAGTTTTTAAACATAAAGCAAAGAAAACCAGCCTACAAATCAAAATCACAGAGAACCTAGACAACAATGAAGACACTAAGAGAGACATACATAGATCTAATCTACATGGGAAGTAGAAAAAGACAAGATCTCCTGAGTAAATTGGGAGCATGAGGACCTTGGGAGAGGGTTGAAGGGGGAGGGGAGACACAGGGAGGGGAGCAGAGAAAAATGTAGAGCTCAATAAAAATCAACAACAGCAAAAAAGAAAATACACAGACTAACAAAATGGTTGCGAAAACAGGATCCATCCTTCTGTTGCATCCAAGAAACATACCTCAATACCAAGCACAGGTATCACCTCAGGGAAAAGGATTGGAAAAAAAGATATTCTAAGTGAATGACCTAAAAAGCAAGTTGTTGTAGCCATTTTAGCATACAATAAAATGGTCTTCAAACCTAAACTAATTAAAAGACACAGGGAAGGATCAGTGGAAAAACATACCAAGATGGCATTTCCACTCTTAACATCTCTGTGCCCTCCGAATGAACTAAACAAGGCCTATGTGAATCCACAGACTGAAGCAGCAAGCCTAGGGGCCTACATGGATCTGAACCAGGTCCTCTGGGTATATATTATAGCTTTCAGTTTAGTACTCTTATGGGACACCCGAACATGTGAACTTGTGGGTCTCTTTTTCTCCATGAGGTTGCCTTGTCCAACCTTGTTCTGATGTTTTCTGTTTTACCTCATTATATTTTATTTTGTCATGTTTGGCCACTATCTCTTATAAACTTGTTATTGTCTAATGAGAGACAGAAAGGGAGTAGACCCAGAGGGGAGGACAAATAGAAAGAAACTGGGAGAATAAGAGGGAAGGGAAACAATAATCAGAATATGCTGTCTAAGAATAGAAACTGTTTTCAATAAAATGAAAATATATAATAAAGAATCACTACAAACAACACATGAAGCAAATTGAAATTTATCTTTCTTCAGACTGGTAACTTTGGACAACCTCAGTCAGGAAAACAAGAAAAAATGCCTTGCACGTTATAATTTTGTGAAACTAAAGCAAAACATGGGGGCTAGAGAGATGACTCAGTGGTAAAGAGCACTTGTTGCTCTTGCAGAGGACCTGGATTCAGTTCCTAGCACCCACAAAGTGGTTCACAACCAGCTGTCACTCCAGTTCCGTGAGAACCAAAGGCACCACCAAGCATGCGAGTGGTACACAAACATATAGGCAGGGAAGCGCACACACAAAACAAAACGCATAAATCTAGAATAAAATTAAAAATACTAAAGAAAAACAAAACAAGAAAACCGAAGGCAAAAATCCAAAAACCATATTGAATAAGGTGTTAAGGAGAGACAGTTCTGTGGGAAACTTCTCAACCACCAGGAGGCATGGGAAACAATTCTGAGGCAGACCAGATGACGGAGGGGAGGGCATGGGAGGAGACAGAAATGATATCCGAGGTGATAATGCATAAAACCTAAATCAAAGCAAACAGAAGCACAAGCGAAGGGAAACTGCACAGACCCCCCAGGTCCCTACAGTTCGGGCTCAGCATTTCCAACCCGCCAGCGTCGCAAGGTCTGAGTAGGCGAAGGTCCATGACAAGGACTAACCCAAGAGTGCTGGAGATTGCGGGGAAGCAGCTTCACCAGAACAGAAAACTGGGGCACTCGGGGCTCAAGGTTTCCGTGGGGTGCACACTGCACGCATAGGTAGGCATAGGCATTGTTGAGCCAGACTCCGCCTTCCACTGGACTGCACAGCGCCCGGGAAGACTCCAGGTACTGGCGACGCAAAACCCAACTGTCCCCAAGATTCCAGCGCCCCAGGCACACTCACCATTTCTGACGTGCCTAGGTGTCTTCTCAAAGAGGATTGGAGTCAGCGGAACACAAAGTGGTCCAGATCACAAGGATCCCCCCCGCTCCCCTCAAATAGTAAACGAAGCGTAAAAAATGACTTCCGGGACGCTGCAACCATCCGCGCCCCTGATTGGACAGTTCGGCGTCTTTTAGTAATATGGTCCCTGATTGGCGAACTGTACTCAGTCCGCGAAAATTATCAAAACAATTTAGGAAAGCTCAGCTGCAAGACCTGACTGCTCGCTCTCTCAGAAGAACGCGAGCTTCTGTGAATTCAAAGCCATTCAGGGCTACATGGTAAGATCCTGACCCAAAACGAAATAAAAAAGCCCGGCATGGTGCAGGCATTTCTATTCGGGATCTGTAAGTGCAGGCTAGCCTGGTCCAGAGAACTAGTTCCCGGACAGACCATACATAGTACCAGAGAGCTGGGCGGTGGTGGCGCACACCTTTAATCCCAGCCCTTGGAAGGCAGAGGCAGCCGGATCTCTGAGTTCGAGACCAGCCTGGTCTACAAGAGCTAGTTCCAGGACAGGCTCCAAAAACCACAGAGAAACCCTGTCTCGAAAAACAAAACAAAACAAAAAAACCAAAAACCAAAAAACAAAAAAACAACAAACAAACAAACAAACAAAAACAAAAAACAAAAAAACCCCAAAAACATGGTACCAGAGAAAAGCTGTCTCGGAAAACCAAATCAAGTAAGGAAGCAAAAATAAACAACAAAACAAATTTTAAAGCAAAAGCTCTAACATATTATCCGCCCCGTGTGGAATGAACCTGTTCCATTTCGGGATTTCCCTGCATTGTAAGACGACACACTCTGGGATTTGGAATGCACTCACTCACTGCCTCGAACACCCAGTATTCGCCGCCTGCTCTTTCCATAAAGATGGAGCCTTAAGTTTGCTCATTCCAGTATTCCTCATTGTCCTCTATGTTCAGCTAGTCCGGATTTATCCCATGCTTTTTCAGACCTAGGCCAGCTGGCCTTGGTGAGATCCCAATAGAACATCCCCATTGTCTTTGAGAATTCAAGAACAATTGCAGTGGGTTTTTGATCCTACTGCACGTACTGGCTTTGTGGGTGCCTAGGCAGTTTGGATGCTCACCTTACGAGACCTGGATAGAGGTGGGCAGTCCTTGGGCTTCCCACAGGTCAGGGAACCCTGATTGCTCTTCGAGCAGATGAGGGAGGGGGAATTGATCGGGGGAGGGGGAGGGAAATGGGAAGCGGTTGTGGGGACGAGGCAGAAATCCTTAATAAATAAATAAATTAAAAAAAAAAAAAAGTTTGCTCATTCCATTCCAATCTTTTTCCCCCAAAGGAAAACAGCAGGTTTTCTGGGTAGAAACAGCTCCCTAGTAGGTTCAAGCACAGGAAACACATGTGGCGCTTGATAGGAAACCCAGTAAAGATTACGGTTGAGGTAAAGGAAAGTTCATGACTTTCTCACACTTCATGTCTAAGTGTATCCCTCTTTTGTCAATATAATTAAAACATACCAACAAGGGACTACTAGTATTCAATGGATGTATAAAATAGACACACATACTAGGGGTCCTTAACTAAGAATTCAGAGATATGAAAAGAAACCCCTGAATTTCAAAAAAGGTGGGTTTTGTTGTTGTTGTCTTTTTGTTTTGCTTTTTGACCATGATCATGAAGAAAGCCTCCATTCGCTAGAGTATATACCCCCAAACCTCTGGATCTCAAAGACTACCAAGAAAGAGCCCCACACGGGCAGTCTCTAATGATGATGCAGACACACCAAACAATTTATCTTTGGGAACTTACCTTGCCAGCTATTGCTTCCAGAGCCATGAAATAATTCTTTCAAAACTAAGATAATCTCCAGAATTATAATGTCACTCACACCCACATTAGATTTACCTATTTTATTTTGTTTTTATGGGGAAAGGGGAAAGGGGGAGACTCTTTCTGCAACTAAAGGGAAGCTCTCATCCCTGCTGGGTAATGCTTTCCAGTACTACTATGCTAGTTCTGAAATATATATAATTTTTTGGAATGACTTACATGCTGCACTCTACTTTTGGATGGAAAGTACAAAAATCTAGTAGTTACTCACACCTATGAGGCTGGGTGTCTCAGCTGGCCTTCTGTATATGCTGGAATCCCAAAGAAGTAAACTTCAATGCCGGTGAAGAGATGGATGTGCTAACAAGCGGAGGGCAAGCTGGCAAAGAACAGACACATCCCATTCCTTCTTCCCTTGTCTTTATATAGGCTTCTGCTGGCAGCCAGCACCAACAGTGAACAGGTCCCAGAGAGGATGGAAGAAGGATCAGGCAAGGGGAGCATTGAGTCCGACACCCAGACTTTGTAACCCAGACTGACTAGCAATCAGAAACTTTCTTATTTATACCGATTTTAAAGTCATTCATGATTTCTCAAGAGACACAGATCACAGCATTCTGTTTCAGGCCTACGTTACTAGCATGCCCACGGTTACAGGTTAGGCACAGACAGAGTAGATTATCAACAATACATATCCCTATTCCTAGAATTTTACAGAACATTTCAGCTTAGGCAAGCATAATAAAGCAGCCAGTTCTCAGGCTGGCAACAATTTGAGGTTTCAACATGTTTGAGATACTATCTGAATCAGTGAAGGTAACTCCTCAGGCTTTGATCAGAGTGTTGTTAGCTATTGGTGGTCAGTCCTATTACTTGCAAATTAGCCTAAGCCTGACTTAGGAACCATTGTAGCTGATATTCAACCTTTGTAATATTTGCATTCATAACCTTATAAGAATTTGTTAAATAAAACAATGGTTTCGTTTCTAAATGACTTTCACAATTTCCATAGGAGATGGCCGTGCCAGGTTTCCAGCAGAAGGTGTGGCCCAGAATAAAGGTGTTTCTTCCAGCCTCAAGATCTGAATTAAAGGTGTGTATCAACCGTCAGCCTCAAGAGACAAACCAAAGGTATGTTGTCTTCTTGCCTCAAGATCCAGATCAGAAGTGTACCCTCCATTTCTGGATTATAGCTCATTCCTGATATGGTCCAGTGGATAACCAAGACTAGCCCTCACATTTTTCTAGATTAATACAATGTGCACAGGTGATGGCTCAAGGACCCTGTCTTTTTTGTAGCATAAACTGTCATAGTGGAGTAGTAACCATTCTATCAATTATTCTTCTCCATCGACTCCCCAAACCCTTAGGGAAACAGGCTTTCTCAGATCACAGCGTTTCCGTCATTTCCTTGACTGGATACGTGGCCTGACAGAACTCTATATTTGTGAAGATTGTGAGTCATGACTCCTACCAATAGATAGAACTCTTAGCAAATTCCCATTAAACAATAAGTAAAGCCCAGTCCTTCACTGGGTTTACATTTTTATATTACTTTATTGATAATTCTCTATTCAGATCTGTACCCCATTTTTAAAAAAATGTTTTTTTTAATAATAAGGCCACCTGAGATGTGGTCTTATTATGTAGCACAGACTGAAATTTGAAATTTATTCTCCAGCAATGCTGAGGCTTGCATGGGCAGCCCATACACTGCGGTTCTGTTGAACTTGTCCATAATGGGTTTCATGGTCTAAGTTGATGAGGATGACTGATCAGATCTCTTCCTCAAGGGACAACAGATCTCATTACAGATGGTTGTGAGCCACCATGTAGTTGCTAGGAATTGAATTCAGGACCTTTGGAAGAGCAGGCAGTGCTCTTAACCTTTGAGTCATCTCTCCAGCCCTAAAAACTTGTTTTTATTGAGCTATATATATTGTATATTTTGGATATTAGCCCTCGACCAGATGTAGAGCTGGTGAAAATCTTTTCCATTCTTTAGGCTACTGTATTGTGCTATTGACAGTGTCCTTTGCTTACAGACCCTTTTCTATACATGAAGTCCCATTTAGTAACTGTTGACCTTAGTGCCTATTACAAGTGTTCTACTTAGGAAATTGCCTCCTGTGTCAATGTGTTCAAAGCAATTCCTTACTTTCTCTTCTATCATGTTCAGTGTATCTGGTTTTGTGTTGCGGTCTTTGATCCACTTGCACTTGAGTTTTGTGCAGGGTGATGGATATGAACCTATTTGCCTTCTTCTACATGCTGGCATTGGGTTAGGTCAGCACCATTTGTTGAGGGTGTTGTTCTTTTCTCCAGTGTGTATTTCTGGCTTCTGTATCAAAAAGTCCATATATGTGTCTATATATGTGTGGATTTACATCTGGATCCACTGGTTAAAGTGCCAGTTTTTATGCACATAACATGCAGGTTTTGTTATCTTTACAGATGGAAATCAGGAATAGTGATAACTCTGGTAGTTCTTTTATTACTCAGGGTTGCTTCAGTTATCTTGAATTCCCCCCTCCCCCATGAAATCGACTGTAGTTCTTTCAAGGTCTATAAAAAATTGTGTTTTAGTTCTCACGAGAGCTGGGCCTCTTTCCAAGCCAGCACTCTCTAAGGGCAAGCCATGTTCAGCTCGAGCACCAAGATCGTCAAGCCCAATGGCGAGAAGCTGGACGAGTTCTAGTCAGGCATCTTTCAGGTACTGCTCGAGCTGGAGATGAACTCGGATCTTAAGGCTCAGCTGTGGGAACTCAACATCACCGCAGCCAAGGAAATTGAAGTTGGTGGTGGCTGGAAAGCCATCACAATTTTTGTACCAATTCCTCAGCTGAAATCCTTCCAAAAAATCCAAGTCCACAGTCACTTTAAAAAAAAAAAAAGACAAAAAGGAGAAATGTTGTGAGATAATTGTACACTGTTTGACAATGTCTGATTGATGTAATAAAAGGCTAAAAGTTCAATAACTAGGTGGAAGGCATAGGTGGTATATCTGAGGAGAGAACAGAAGAGAAGGAATCTAGGCCTCCTAGATGCTAAGGAAACCCAGAAAGGAAGCAAGAGGTTTAAGATGGAAAAGAGATAATGCCATGTGGTAGAACATAAATTAATGAAAATTGGTTAATTTAAGTCATAAGAGCTGGTTAGAAACAAGTCCAAGGTATAGGCCAAGCTTACTTAATTAATAAAGAATCTCTGTGTCATTATTTGTGACCTGGCAACCCAAAGTGTGTGTGATTACAC